CACATGTTAGCTTGCTAGCTTGCCAGTGAGGCAGCAGGGGCACCATGAATGAACGAAACAACATGCATTTTACAACTTTTTGAATTAGGCTACAAGAGTTGCATTCAAAGTAATTCAAAATATTAACGTGTTGTTCTCATTCTTTTAAAACTTTAATTTTGTGAAAAGGGACAGCCCTAAAGCTCATGAACCCATAGCTGTACCATCATTTTTGGTGCACTGAAATTTCTAAGTGCATTCTTCTAATCTTTAAATGCATGAAATGTTTGCCATTAGTAATGAACACTAACAAATTGCCTGATATAATTTCTTCAACAGTCTTTTTGCTATTATGAACGTGCGTAATTGAAATTAATATAAGTTAAGGTATTGGCTTTAATGGAAACACTTTGCATTTTATTTGGAAGCACTTCAAAGATTGCATAAAATTTACAGTTGAATGGAAATATAGCTAATAATGCACCATCACGCATCTCCCGCATAGGAAATTTCTCATAAACCCCAGTCCACCCATCAAATTCCAGTTGGTCTCATTTTCCAGTGTGACAGCTTGAGGTGTTTTATATGGAAAGTCATACTCACAGACATGAAATGTCTAGCCTGCATAATAGGACATCCAGACCCCTTACAATCACATTGACTAGTGTTATAGGTTCTTGCAGTGGGCGGATAATAAATGACTTGCTGAAGACATAAAGCCTTTTGAGCTGGTGTCTAGATTTATGTTGTGATATTAGCTCGGATATCATGCTTTAAAGGTTAGATAGATGGCCTGCTTGGGAGACATGCGTCATCAGAAGTACTTCACTCTAATCAATATATGGTGTGTGTTTTGTCACTCCAAGATTTTGATGTGACACACACACACACACACACTGTCGGTTCATGCTTGGCAGTGGTGAGTGGTGATATCCCGTCCAGTGCAGCTGGTGTGCAGCCTCTAGGCAGCCCTGTGCTCTGGGAGGGAAGCCTGGTTTGATTTTAGTCCAGGGCAAACCAGGACTTTCACATTCCTGCTTTTCAATTGGAATTAACGTATTTGTTACTGCCTGGGAGACTGATATAAATATATTCTTACATATGTGCATTTGGAGGGAAAGGCCCTGGAATAATGAAGTCTAAGGTGAGGTGTCGTTTGCCCTCAGGGCTAGTGTAATATTACATGACACTTTTTTTTTTCTTTCTCTCCCGCTCGTTCTCCTCGCTCCATCTTCAAATGAGGCCGTTCCAAGCTGGAAAGTTCTGCCGCTGTTACATAAACCCCAGCTCGAACGGCTGCGGGGTCAGGAAAAAGGGAAGAAAGGAGGGAGAAAAACAAGACAAAAATTGAGTGTATTGTGGGAAAATGAGGCACAAAGATAAAGAGGATCTGGAACGGGTAAAACCTGTATCATCAGGAACGTCGAAAAACTCCTCTTCATCAGATCCTGGAGAAAGGAGGAAGAACAAAAGAGCAGGAGGAAATTGGAAGCAGAGTGAAGGCAGCTTAGCAGCTCCCATCCAAAAAGCCTGGAAGAAAGGGAAGGGGAAAAACTAAAAACAAGGCATTAAATGGCTCGGCAGCGTCCAGGGCTCGGGCTGAAACCATCGTGGAACCAGCCAGGTCACTGCTGATACAAAAAAGAGACCCTGCTTTGTACCAATTTCAACCTGACATGTCTTCCTGCTGAGAAGATGTTTTCTTTGTTAACACGAATCCCTGGTGACACTGGTGATCCAGGATTTTATTGTGCGTGTTAGCTGGATCTGATCCAAGCTTTTATTTTTGAGCTAGAAGAGATGTGTTTCACTAGTTTTGGTTCTCATTTCACCCTTCCTGCCAACACTCTTGATGACCCATACATACCTTTCGAAAGGCCTGAAAACGTTCTCACTTTCAGATGGATGTACGGTCCATGCTAAATGGCTGAGCGAAGCATGAGTTATTAGATTTATAGGAAGTGCTCAACAGTTTGTCTGGAAGTGGGTGATGATTCATATTCCAAATGGCTTGCAGATGCTGCAGCAGATTTCAGTGGGTACATACTGTGACTGAATAACAAATCAACTCATAATTACCTCTCATAACCACATCCACATTTATTTACTGAGGTGTTTATGCCCATAAATCCCACGAACATCCCCTCAAACCGCTAACATCACACTTTCACCAAGAACAACAGGGTGTGTTTTCGTGTAGCCTGTGAATAATGTAAACTCTCACGTTCATGTGAGCATCTCTTTCAGGTGCGCACCAGAGACACGCTCATTAAATCAACCACTTCTTCCCACCGCTTCACTGCCCGGGAACATTATTCAGTCTGTCTGGCATTTTTTAGCATGAACACACTTGTTTGCTGACTCACTGCATTCTCTTCTCAAAGAGAGCTGTCCATCCTGCTGTCACCTCCGCTCTTTCCACTGACCAGACACAAAACACACACTCCGGAAACCTCTGGAAATCCTGGGTGACTGCCTCTTCAGTCAGCCCTTACCTCACCTGAGAGACAGCACGTATCCCAGCAGACGCAGGACATTCCCAAAAGGTTGACTACTACCACACATCCTTATGCTGATTTAGTGCTGGCTTCCCTTAGCACATCAGCAAAACATTAACAAGACTAAGAGATGGGGGGGGAATAATTGAGAAAATAAAATGGGAAAACTGAGAGAAATGGATCGAGTGGATGTAGAAGAAAGAGATGCGGTATTCAATAAGTGCAGGTCAATACCAGGCTGTGCACTGGGCTTTACTGTCACAGCGTGCCTTTCACCATTTGTTTCCTATAAAGGCCACATGGAAACGTTTAGCTGGCTTTAAGCAGATCGGCGCACGTTGTCTCGGGCCCGTAACATTTGCTACTTGTTTTCCAGGTCTGTCCTAATAAAGTTTTCTGAAAAATATAGGCAGCTGCAGTAAATAATATAAATGACAATAACATAAACTAAAATACGATAGAATAGTATTAAGCGATATGAGTGATGGGAAATGTCTGTCCAAGGGGGAAGAAAACAATAGATAAAAATAGCTCCCTCACAGTAATTCTTCATGGCTCAGAGAATGTCTTTAGTGCCTCAACAACTTTCTCCTTGTGTTTTCATCAGCGTCTGCAGTCTTGCGAAGCGAATAGAATTCACATGTGCGCAGGTTATGAGGAGTGAAGTCATAATGCAGCGTTAGTTAGTTTTTTAGTCTTCATACTTTTTTGTTAATGGGTAAAACTGTGAAAACAATCAACACTAAACTCTCACTAGACATATTGGTAGGACTTTAAGTTGTGGAAGACAGAAAATGGCCCTGTTGGCGTGTTTGGACAAGGTCCTTCTAGTGTGTATTAACACCTATTTGTGAGTACAGTGTGTAATAAATTCATCCTCACCCTTGGCCTCCATGTACAGCATGTGCGCATATAAGTGTGTGTTTGTCAAGTCCAAATTCCTGCGAGCATATGGAAGAGTAATACAGGTTTTCACAAATACACAAACCCAGCTGTCCATCCATCCCCCAGGTACACGGCTCTTATTCTGCCAAGTCATTTACATTGAGCTTCTGCACAAAAACTATTTCCTGCCCCGCTTTCCATCCAACATCCACATCACAGGCCTACAGGGTGCATAGATATGTGCACGTAATGTGTTGAGAGCTCGCCTAATGGCCCGTCGGGCTTATTGCACACCGATGTCCGTCGAGGTGCTTCCACTTTCCACTCTTTATCCTTTTAAATGAGCACTACCCCAGACAGGAGTGGGCAGAGGCTTAAGACAGTAAATAATACTAAGAAATCCTATCCTAATACATCTTCGCCGGGATTATGAAGTACAAAGACTGCATGTTGTCATCGTTTGTCTAATCTCCAGCCAAATCAGAGCTAGATTGCCATATTGGCATCGGCCACTCAACTACTGCGAATTGTCTGCTCTTCCCATATTCATAATCTGAAAAACCTTTTATTTATGTTTTCTGGCAGCTCCGGCCTTTACTCCCACAAATATGGGAATGTATTTCTCCCACAATACCCATCTTTGGCCAAAAAATGCTAAATGTACATAACTTAAGCCTTACACTGGGGAACCATGCTGCCTACAACTGAGAAAGCTAATGTACACAGCATCCTCTGGTGGCTTTTTGGAGAATTTTATTTCAAGTGCCTGAATACTAAAACTGTAAAAGCAGAAATGGGTTCATGTGATAGCAGCTATAAAATAGGATGTGTAGAGCCTGAAGGTTTCCAGCAGCTAATAGCTGACAGATTTCTCCTAAAGGAAATCCCTATCTTACAATCTCATCCTCTATGTGCTTTCAGCAGTCTCACGAGTGTGGTACTAATGTTATTGTTATGTTACACAATAAAACAGAAAAGACAAAGAATAAGAAAAACATGGCTAATGTTCCAGTGGTATCCAGACCAGCTTTGTGCTTCTAAAGCAGGGTCAAAGATGATTTGTGTGTGTCTGTGTGTGTGTGTGTGTGTGTCTGTGTGTGTGTGTGTGTGTGTGTGTGTGTGTGTGTGTGTGTGTGTGTGTGTGTGTGTGTGTGTGTGTGTGTGTGTGTGTGTGTGTGTGTGTGTGTGTGTGTGTGAATGACCACCTGTGTTTTCAGTTATTGACGAGGTGTGCAGTGGGTCTAAATGAGAAGTTCTGTTCGTTATTTCTAGGTGATATAGCCATTCACAGGTGTGACAACCAGAACCAAGCACTGGTGAATTTTAGCAAGACAGCCTGTCCTTTTCTGAATACACACACACAACCACAAGCACACATATTACTTCCATGTATCCTGACCAAACATAAGAGAGGCATTAGGTCTGTTATTGTTTGTTTTTGCAGAGTGGCTGCGGTACTCCAAAGGAATAACGCTACCACAGTACACTGAAGACAAGGTGGTACAGAGGACACAGTGTGTGTGTGTGTGTGTGTGTGTGTGTGTGTGTGTGTCTAACTAGTAACTGTTCCCAGTTGCCCAACAGGCATGTCATAAAGTGTCATGTCTCTCCACTCTCACAAAACACATGAGAAAAACATTAAATATGTCACCTTTATTTGACACATCCATCTACATAAATTAACATGCCATATAGTTGGCAGCAATATAGAGTGTGATTTCTTAAAAAAAAAAAAAGGAAAGAAAACAAACAAGACAAACATAAAAACATTAGGATGTAAGGACATCATTCTTTCAAGATACAACAGTAACTTTCCATGAGAGATGGTGACAGATAAATGGTGAGAGGCAACAGCGACAGTCATTTAGGCACAGACCTGCAATAACTTTTCCCCTCAAACTGGACCACGGATCAGTGCCAAGCATTTTCATTAAACCCCTAAGATAATCAAAGTAGCGGGGCCATGTAATGATCTTATGTTGTGTTTCAATAGTGTACAGTGTTTCTCTTCAAATTCCTAGTATTCTTCTCCAAACAACTCCGATCGAAAAAAAACAAACAGAGATGAAGATACCAGAAATTGAAGAGTGACAAGTAAAGTTGCAAGGAAAGTACATATCCTTCGGGCTATCGAGATATACCAGTCATCTTGATGTTTTGAGTTCAGTTTCATTCATCCTTTCAGTCTGTATGTAAAGATGTTCCTTGTGTGACTCCCCAAAACAGACACAAGGAGCTGAGAGAAAGATCTTTCCAATCAATCGTCTCCTGCTGGGAGATTTTCTTCAATCCTCTTGATAAACTTCATGCGGATTTCTGTCACATTGTCCCCTCTCAGAGTGTCCTGAGCAAATCTCACATCCACAGCCATCTGGACCTAAATCAGATAAATAATCACTTACATTTCTATGCACAAACTGTTTTTCTCTTGGTGAAATTTGCGACAGGAACCTAATCAACAATTGTATTCTATGACACCCATCAATTTACACCTGGAGTGTTGAACTTACCATCTCCAGGGCTCCTCTGAGGACCCCACACAGCAGGTTGGAATAGATGAGTGTGCTGTGGTTATCCGGCAGCTCCACAAAGTCAACCAGCGGGTTGTTCTCAAGGATGAGGGAGAATTCATCTCCTGCTGGGCTCCAGTTGGTCACACTGGGGGTGATTCCCAGGTACATCTTAAATGCAACCTAACAGCAAGCGCAACGAAAGAAAAAAGAAAACACTGCGCGATCACTCAAATGAAAACAGAAATCCTACATTGCATGTTTACATTGGTGACACTTACAATGTTACTAGTTACAGAGCGCTCGTATAAAACATACAATTAGCTGCAGAGACACACAAAGAGGTGTTAAACTGTCAGTTTTACCATTACCAATAACTATTTACTAGGTGAAAATGCATGTAACTAAATGATCACCATATATACTGCATGCACTATGCTAATTTCTTACTAAATTCCACCTGAAAATTAGGGTTACTTTATGAGTCTTGGCAGATTGACATTTTCTCCACTAACCAGCCCAATGAACATCATCCAGCAGCTGCTTCACAGTAAAGCCCATTATCAAACTGCTTTACAGGAAGGCTTTAGCTGTGAAGCATGTGCAGAAACTCTTACATTTTCACCACAGGCATAGTGACAGTAGTATCTTCACACACCTGATTTCTGATAATTGTTGATTAATTTCCTCTGCAGCACTTTGTCCCTGTGATGTGTCACAGGAGGGGCGGCATACTCTCTCACACATGCACAAAGTTCGTTCAAGCTAGTGAAATTGCAGTTGCAAAGATGAAAGTATTCCCTGGCGCTGGGAGGATTTATTTTAAATATGTAAAAAGGTCAGACTCTGCAGTGCAGCCTTATCTTAAAGTATTTTAGAAACACTGGAATAAGAATATTAGTTAATAGCACCGCAACTGAAGTGGTATGATTAAGTCTTGCCTTCCATAGAAACCATTCCTGATCTACACAATCTGTTTTCGAACAAACAACTGACCTTCACTGACAAATGAGGTGGTTTCAGAGTTTACCCAGAGGTCATGTGATATCCTCAGGCAAGGCTATCATTGCACCTTCCAAACCGCTGTCCCACAAGAGCCAGTTCCCTGAGCTAGTGTGGGGTTACATCTGTGGAATGACTCCCCCAGCAAGCAGGCAGTAACCTTGAAAACACCCGAAACACAGTCTGCCTGCGTCTGTTTGTCCGTGAGTTATAAGGGGAGTCTGATTTTTGTGAAGATTGACATGGATAAATTAAAGATCGACAGGGGAAGACTGAAGTACAACACATCACAACAGTAATATGATCATCACCTTTTCTGAGGAGAGAGATTACATTTCATCCCACATGTAAGCGAATCCTCACCTTCTGAATGTTTAGGGTAAGTATCACACAAAGCAAAGAGGAATGTGATCTTAGCCTCAGGCTGAGACTTTAAGGCTTTCTAATCTACTCAGTCACAACCATCAGTTATCCCGAACCCCTCCCAACATATTAATCGTCTCCCCCCATCTATTGTCAGGATGTTTCATCAACATCCCTCTCTAATCTTTCTGTTTCTCTCATCCCTTCTCCTCCTCCTTCCCTCCATCTTGGGAGAAGTCCACGGTCACGCTCTGATTGGCCTGGAACCTTCCAATTACCTTAGCAATGACATCAGCTGTTTCTCGGAAATCCTGACACCTGCCGATGCTGGACCGTGCCAGGAAGTCCTCGATCAGACGCACTCCGATGTTATAACCCCTATGAAGGAGAAAGACAAAGTCAGTCCGAGGGGAAAAAAAGACAGTAAAGAGATAGAAGTCAGTTCCAAATACAACACATTTTTGGGTCATACACTTGGCAAATGCTGATAATTCTGATTATAAGGTTAAGTCAACTTATTCTTACAACAGAATCTGAAGCCAACTGATGCATCCCGATCCTAACATGGTCCTAACATCGACTAGCAGAGTGGGCAGTGCAGACTCACTGCCTTCTAAGGCCAGGTAAGACAAGCCTCATCATGACTTAGCTTGGAGAAGGCTTAGGGTTGCCGCACAACCACAAAAGCAAAGTACATCCCGTCCAAAGTCCTGTCAGTGTGACAGGATGTTTTGAATTTCTGAGTTATAAAACCTTCCATTTTTCTTAATCTTATTTTGTGGGAGGACTATATCCCTGCGTCGCCTTCCAGAGGTTTTTTTCACTCATAAAAACACGTATCAGTGTGCTCTTCTTCAAAGGCGCCGTGAGTTCTAAGAAATGACAAGAGTAAAGGGGAACCTCTGACACAGAAGTGTTTGTGCATTATGTCATTTCTCTGCTCAAGCTTGCGCCCAGGTACATTACGAACAGAGGCCAGCGGAATGTGTCAGAGCAGTGCGAAGGTGTGAGTTAAAGGGAGACACCAAAGAGGCCATAAAAAACATCACTTCTCTTCTCTCGGTTAAAGACGCAAAAGATAAACTTTAACATGTTGAAGTAGCTGTGTTATACCATCTATCTAATGCACAGAAAGCAGGGTTACATCTTTTAATAGTTCAATTCCAATGTACAATAACAAAAACATAATCCGTCAGCTTGGCACCGTATTTATTAAAGCGAATTGCGCTGCCATACACAATAAAAGGCTAAAAGACTAGCCCATAGCTAGTCTTATGAAGAAAACAGCAATTGTGATAAATAAAAGATCCATGCAATCAATAAAACTAAATCAATTATGTGATAAGAAAACTTATTTTCTTGTTGATAAAAATGACTTTTGTTTGTTTGTTTGACACCAGCAAGTCTTAGCACACTTGCTTGGCATCTGCACTATTTCTAAACTACAGTTGGGTGTGAACATAGAATAATAACCTACATCTTGTCCAGTTGTTTGTTGACCTCCTCATCATTTTCGTAGTCTTTACAGAGCTGGGTGACCAGGGCCCCATACGTCAGAGTGAACAGCTCAGAGTTCTGCAACAGAGGAAACAACAGAAGTCTCATATTATTTGTGCAAAATCAAATAAATAACACTAGAATAACGGTATGAAATGTAAGTGTTAATTAAGTGTAATGTGACGATGAACTTGTATCCTCATAGTTAGATGTGGAAAACTTCTTGGGGTAGTCCTTAAAATATCCTAATCAAAAGCTTACACACAACTATAGTGAAACAACCACATGGTAGCAAGCTTTTATATACAAATATAGAATGATCAAACAGGTTAGTCTAAAAACCAACATATTTGGACGCCCGGTTAGCTCAGTGGGTAGAGCTGGCAACCCATGTACAGAGGTTGAGTCCTTGCTGCAGCGGCCCAGGGTCCAAACCCACCTTCGGCCCTTTGCTGCGTGTCATCCCCACTCTCTCTACCCCCCTTTCCTGTCTATCTTCGGCTGTCCCTATCAAATAAAGGCAACAAAAAGGCCCAAAAAATAATAACATTAAAAAAAAACATATTTGACATTTCAAATAACCAAGCCACCCTTAAGGATACATTAAACACATAACATATAGAACAGTCGAACATAAATATATAGGGGTTTGGGGTTAAAATGACAGCAGGGTCTGCAATTTTTCAAAGCAGTGTAGCCAATTACACTGTTTCTCAAGTTTATAAAACACCCTGAATTTCGGCATAAACCAGATTAAAAACAACAACCTCAACTTGGCATCCAATAATCAATTCCTTAAATGTGGCGTGCCAACTGGTACAGGACTACTTTCTGCACCAGGAAGTCTAACAGGTCAGACTATAGACAACTCCTGGTATATATAGTATATATATATACACACACACATTATAACGTAATATATTACGTTTTTTAGACTTAGTATTCACACTGAGGGTGTATCTTCACTGCAGATGTGAAACTATAATGCCAACCATTGAACAGTGCTAATAAAGTGAACATGATAACAGACACTAACCCTCCATCTGCCAGTATGTGACTTCTTACTGATTCACTAACTTTGACTGACAGTTTAGCTCAGGAGTTGAATTCACGCTATATATTGCTTTTTTTTTCTCCCCCATTTGTTCAGGCATTTGCACAGCATCTCTGCCACATGTGTTGTAACTGCACAGGAGGGATTTCCTTTAGTAAGTTGTCTTAAAAGTGAACGGGCTGGGACGGGTACAGCTACGGAGGCTAACTATTTAGCTCGTGTGCTACAACGACCTACGCTTCCCGTCCAAGACAGTAATATTAAACAATGAATGAAATACTTATTCAACTTGTAAACATGCCTTTCATATATCTAGCCACAACTGTCAAACAAAGATAGATGACTGACAAGTAGCTTAGCTCGCACAAGTATAATGTGGCCAGTTGTTACGTTAGCTATTTTGCTACGGTTAGCATTGTGCTAGCTAGGCTACACAGGTTTGGCTGGTGTTAATCCTGCGGGAGTCGCCTACCATCTTCTTGCTGTCTGTTGTTCTGTTGGATTGCCTGGACATTGTGGACAGTGTTACAGGCGTACACGGGTGGCGGCTCGATATTAATCCTTTATTTATTTGATTCTGCCTAAGCAGTTATTTCCGTAATCGCCAGTTTAGTCACACACTTCCTCTGACGTCAAGTTACCGAGATTAAAATACGCATTTCCGGTTGCACTTTAAATTAAAACAATTATTAGGAGAAGTTCGTGAGTAGTACCAGGCACAGTGATGAAAGTAAACAATGATTTTGAGAAAATGAAATCAACACATAGATAAATCCATATTGTTGTTATCAATTCTGTGCATATAGAGTTCCCTTTTTACAGGTGAAACAAATTATACATTTTATTTTGAAAACAAATTCATCTCATTTCCGGTATCGCTTCTGTATCTCTTTACTAGCTTGACAAAGAGCTTCAGTCAGCTGTCTCACCAAGCTTTCCTCGGCTATCTTCCTGTTGGCATGTTGCGGTGTCGCCCTCCCGCGTCCCGGAGGGGAAAAGAGGACCACCGTGAGACCTACTACTCAAAAACTTGGTATGATTGACCACAGGATGGCAGCATATGTAGGCTAATATATTAACAGGAATATAAGATTTTCTATATAAAGCAGGAAAAAACAGCTTTAATTATTATTTGTTTATAACTGTAGAGACTATTCACCCGTTCGCAGCTGTATTACAATAAAGTGCCATATGTATCATAGTGTGTGTGTGTGTGTGTGTGTGTGTGTGTGTGTGTGTGTGTGTGAGAGAGAGAGAGAGAGAGAGAGAGAGAGAGAGAGAGAGCTGGAGGTCTCGGTACCAGTCATGTGGGAGGTTACAGATGCGCTTTAAAGTCTACATTACAATACATTTTCATCATCGCTATCACATGGTGTTTCCCTTCCACGTTACGTTGTGATTAGGGTATTTGCTGGTTGGCTGTCAAAGGCAATCATCCCACCGTTGGGGCAACAAACTGGCTGTGCTTTAACATCGAGGAGGAAGAGGAACGGAGCGCAGCGGCTCTGCACACACCGCTTTGATTTGGCTCAGAGAAATAAGAGGCTGTTTGACTGTAGCCGGCACGGACCGTAGGGGCTGTGTGGAGGAGGTGGACCAGTGCAATGATGACGGGGAAATCTGTGAAAGACGTTGACAGATACCAGGCTGTCCTCAACTCTTTGCTGGCGCTGGAGGAGAATAAATTCTGCGCTGACTGCGAATCAAAAGGTAGGTGTTTGCCCGTGTCTTGATCCCGTCCGTGCCTGCTCATGGCCCGTGCTCGAGTCGACCCTCTCGCTCGTTTACTACGCTAGAAAATGCGGCATTGCATTCATCATCGCCTCGACCAATTACGTTGTACTATGGCGCAAGACACGGGGGCCACATCCTCGCAAGGCTGGAGCATGGCAGGCACCTACATCGTGCCACCTCCCCGAAGCAATCTAAGTAATTGGGTATGCCTAATGGCCAGGTAACCATAGTAGGCACAGATTTTATGAGGAATATTTCTCATCTAAGAAGGGTTTTTGTTAATAATGAGAATTGGATTACTATATTATAGCCTGGAATAAGTACATGTAATCATTAGTGAAAATGACTCTAATTGGGACCCTTGGAAGACACCTGAGGCTCTTTGAACCTTGGTATGGGAACCACTGGGGTAGCAGACATAGAGAGAGACATAGAGACACTTCTGCTGACTTTGAGTCACCCTGAACACACTGTTCCTGCAGGCTGCGTGCAGATGGGGACACAGGGAGGACTAACTGTTCACAAAATAATAATAACAATATTATGACATTATAATGGCATTATAGGGACACATTGTCATCCGCAGTAATTACTTATAGTGTAATAGTTACAGTGAACTGAGGAGTTGGTCGTGATGCCATACTGTCCTTCATGTTATTTTTGTTTTTTTGGGGGGATGTTGGTATTGTATCCTTCTGCGATCATTATAAAATGTATTAAAGGATTCTTTTATATCCTGTTTATAAGAATCGCCACGTGTTGGTGCAGGTGCACTGACCCTTTCTAGCCTCAATGAGGCCTTGAGCTATGTCATCAATATTTGCTGAACCTGGTTTGCCATACTGGTGGGTAAACACTGCTGTTTTGGTCATAATACACTGAGGCGGAGGTTCACCAAACTGATTCTCCAACATTTTGTCCGCGTTTGGATAAACTGTCAATAAGCTGATAACATCTGTGACTGTAAAACACTGAAGACGCACGTATGTCCACACACTGGCAGATAAAGAGTCATGCACACAAAAGCACTTCACAACCAGCTCTTGGTTTCCAGAGACAAACCTCAGGTGTCAGGTGAAAAACTCTCTTGTGTCGACTGACAGTAATTTAGCCCATTTGATACCAATATATAGTGGATTGATCTATGCTAGATTCCCAGCTGGTTCTGATGTAACTCAGTGGCACTGCTGGTGTTGAAACAGATGAGATTGGCCTCTCCATACCTTGTCCGAGAACTGATTCAACAGGGCACGTCAGTCAGTTTCCACTTCCACACTGCTGGGACTGCTCCCACCTCAGTCATAAATGAATGATGAATGTGTACGTAAATCACCCAATGCTGTCACACAGGGCACACCTTTGGGATTCCTTATGAAAACTTCATGAATGATATGAGTAAGCAGGTTCCCATATACAGCAGGGAGCAAGCTGTATTCTGTAATGCATTCAGATTCAGAGCTGTGTTTCCTTCCGTAACAGACACAGAAATACAGACAGAGGGACAAACAACAGAAAAAACGAACAGGCAAACAGCGTCAGTGAAATACAAAGTGTACAAAGCACTTTTAATTAAGTCTTTAATGTGTACCAGCGTCTGCAAGTTCTACTTCATGAGGGGATGAGAGTTTAAAATCAATAAGTGATGGCAGCTCTCCTCTGGATCATTTCTAGTGTTTGGTGCAGACAGGTGTAAACAGGAACATTCAGAAAGGTGAGGCAGACAGACAGGTTGTATGACCTCCAGTAAATGGGCTAACCTCAGTCTCATTGCCCCCACCCAATGTATGCTTGTTCATTTGAGCAGTCACTGTCCAGGTGTTCTTTCTGTGTCTCTCTTTATATATCTCAATCTCTGTATGCCACTCTCTCTCTCTCTCTCTCTCTCTCTCTCTCTCTCTCTCTCTCTCTCTCTCTCTCTCTATTTTCTACATCTGGCCTGCATCTCTGTATCTATTTCAGGTGGCTGCCGAATGCAGGTATAAATTATCCGGGGTGCTGATGCTGGCATCACAAATATTTCAAAACATTTAGCGGGTCAGATGGCTGCGGAAAAAGTAAACAACTGTTAATACAGATGAAGAGAGACTTTTCTTTGGACATGCAACCTTACGTAAGATAAAATAAAACAGGGTCCTCCAATCCAATAGTTAGAATTTTAGGCCTTAAAATGTTGTAAATATGATTTTGACGGTTCTTAAACTTTAAAAAAATAACAATACTTGTATGAAGTTGTGTTTCAGTTTCGCTTTTAAATGTGTTTTTGTGAAAAAATTGCATTGATCGCGTCGTAACAAGTACAAAACCAAAATGGAACTAATTACTGATTTTCCTTCATACCCTTCGTACTTACATAACGTAAAATATGTTTTAAATTGTATAGTGGTCTTAAAAGGTTGAATCCTGCAGAAACCTTGTAACCTCATTACATGACAAATTCATTGCCATAGCCTACAATTAACCCCAACAAAAAGTTAAGTTTTAGCTTAGAAAGCCTTAGTTTTTGGAGAATTCTGAAATTGGCCATTTGAGGGCCAAAAAGTAAATGCTGGTAATCTGAAACATCAGTGGCAGCTGTATTATTCATACCTTGTTTTACAATAGATTCTTAATTTCCTGTTATAACACTAAAATCCAACTTTCCATTAGAGGTGAAATGAAGTCTTTCACACAACCGCTACTTTCACAATACATAGACAATTGCAATATTTGTTCAGTAAATGTGATGTCAAGTTCTTGGTTGGATTTGTACCGTAGATGTCAACAGGACACAGTGAATGCTTAGTTTCTCAATACACAGTCTTGTTCCAGTGCATACGGCCTTTGGATGGTCTTTTTAATAAGATATAAATAGAACTGCAGACGTTGTTAGACTTCAGGCAAGCACACTTGTGACTGTTCAGAAGTCAATTTTTAAAAAGCACACAGTGATCAGCCTCTTGCAGCCTTTTTAAAGATGTGACTGTTCTAAGACTCGTGGACGAAAGCAGAGAAAATAAACAATATTTAAAAAGCGGTGGACTTTTCTGGACCAAGTCGAGGACACAAGGAGAGAGGAAGTTAATTTAGATGTTTTTTCTCACATGCTCAAAGATGAGCAAATCATGAGGCATGCCTGTGCATGGCTTGTTTGTCACGACTTCACTGTGAAACAGACTGATCTAATTAGACGGCAGATAAGATTAAGGGTTAGGAGAGAAAATAGCAATCACACACACATACACACAGCAATGATGCGGACGCTTTAATTTCAATAAAAGTGAAATTTGTTCCGTATCATCTAAAGTGTACTGTCTGTCAGTTACGCACAAAAAAACCCCACTTATTTCCCACCTCGTTTCTTGTAACTGTTCTAATGAATAAGCTGACACTAATCTAGGCTGAGGCTTGAAGAGAGGTATTTTACCTCCTGCTTGATTAGCTCATTTTCTTGAATCTGTAAGTGTTACTCTTCACTGCAATAGATGACAAGCACACGCTCTCACAAAACCAACACACGTGCACACCTTAAACACATTTGTCCCCTCCCCTTTCCTTTTCTCAAGTCAGGTTTTTGGCCATATGGCGGGGTGATGAGGTTTGGCCTAATCTTGTTTGCTTTGACAGAGATTACTGTGCGTTTATCACCTTCCTCCCTCTGGATGATTGAAGAGGAAGTGGTGAGATGTATGGAGCCAAGTGTGTGCTCGCATCAGCACATGAAGACACACAAAAACACATTAACGGTGCTATCAGGCCATCTCTATCTATGCTTATTGTACAGATACTGCAGCAAGGAAACAATATCTAGGCTATAAGGCTTTTTGACTGCAGTTTACTGCCTGTGGTGCCCAACTTCCTGTCTTTCTTTTCCTCTGTGCTGCATGACGTCCTGTATTATTTGTTTTTTAATCACTTCCTCACAGTGTGACACTTTTACTGTAAATCCTCAATACTGCCAGGAAATAATGAAGAGATGGGGAGAGAGGGTGAGGCAGGTGCATAATGTAGTCAACACTTCTACCTCTGGCTTCAGTCTCAAGGGGCTTTGTAATGTGTGTGTGTGTGTGTGTGTGTGTGTGTGTGTGTGTGTGTGTGTGTTTGCATAAAAGCCTTCCTCCTTTATTGTCTCCATTGTACTTGTGTTTACGTACACACCGGGCCCCGGTTGCCTTGGAGATATCACCTGGCGATACCATGCCTTATCCCTCCACCACCACCACCACCACCACCTCCAAGCCCCCCTCCCCTCACACCCCTTAATCCCATCCAATCAGAAGCAAGCAGGGATTTCCATTGAGGAGGGAGGTGATTGGCTGTTTGTGTCCCCTGGCGCTGGCATAGAGTTCAGAGCCTTACAGTACCAAGGAGAGGGTGGCACAGTGGTAGAGTCCGCAGTATATTACTGTTTGTATACACTGCCATGGCCAGATTAATATGCCACAGGCCCCTGGGCGTCCTTATTAACACCCTTAATGACCCCCTCTTAAGTTCCTTATCATTCATTCATTTTATATTGTTCTTTAGTGGTGTATTATTTCAATATTCCCATACAAAATTACAAATGAATCAAATTACCACACACCAATTGCCACACAGTGAACTTTGAGCTTTGAGGGAGGGGGCAGTCTGAGGTCCCAAACTGTTGGTAGTCCAGCCTTATACAACTGTGTATAATAGAAAAGCACACAACAAGTATAAGGTCAAACATTCATCTGACATGGCTAGTTTACCTGGAAATTGCCTCAGCGCTGCACAGGAAGACAACAAAAGACCAGGAACAGCTCACAATAAAATGTGACACCACAGGCTACAGCACCTTAGAGGTTACTATAGCATTGAAATAATTCACATTCATAAAGGTAGCAGGTATTGCAGACTTATTATATTGTTAACATTATGTTGTCCCCCCCCCACCACCTTTTTTTTGTTGTCACCAGCAGTAGCTTTCAAGTGAAAAATAGGGTCTGAGGATGAGTTTATATACAGTGCTGTAGGTAGTTTTTTTGTCATAGGCGTTGTTTTATCTCCCCATGTTTATGGGTTACAGTGAATTATAGTTATAATAAAACATTTGTACTGCACTCTTTAAAATATTACAAAGTTCTCTAACAATAAAGAAAAAAAGAATAAATATATTATCTACATAGTGCAAGCAATAAAATCAGTAACAGGAAAAAAGAAAAATCTGCAGCTTTAAATGATGGAATGTCTTACTCATCTTTTGGTGTATAACCCATTCAACCTCAATGACACACCTGCAGGATCACAGTCGTGACACTCGAATCGTAGCGCAGATGGTTGGTGTGTATTAGTAAATTATCAATAGGGGTCCATCTGTTTAGCTCAGACTGGGAGTGGGTCACTGGATGGCCTCTGGGTTTCTGGATCAGTTTAGATGCTGAGAGGGGCTGGAAGATAGGACTGTGTGTGTGTGTGTGTGTGTGTGTGTGTGTGTGTGTGTGTGTGTGTGTGTGTGTGTGTGTGTGTGTGTGACGGTGGTGTAGGAGGGCGTAGGATCCACTGATGACTGAGGCTCTGTGGGATTAACTGGATGCATGCAGAGAGCACCGTTTATCCTTGTGGGATATAGGCTAATGAGCCATATGCACCTGCTCATGCATGTGTGTGTGTGTGTGTGTGTGTGTGTGTGTGTGTTTGTGTCACCATAGATGTATGTCTGAAAAGCAGCCCTGGGTAGGGAGATGTTGATATGATGTGTGTGTTAATGTATGATTCTGTTTTTTAGTTGTTGTTTTTTTGACATTACAAGGAAGAGGAGGACATCACATACATCTACAAAAAAATGTCAAACACGGCACACTTAAGTCCATGAGGTATTTCCACTGTGGCCCTTGATGTAAAGCTAGCAAAGACGCCTGCGTTCCCCTGACCCAAAGGTCATCTCTGAGATACTGTACCACACTGAGTTAAGCTGTGTGTAATTGCTTGTTTTTCCCAGACCTTTAAAGGCATGTGCAGACTAAGTAGTAAAAGAAATTCAAAGCAGGAGAATTGGCCAAGAGTTTTTGACATGCTTTATCAATTAAATTATCTTTCCCAGCCAAAAACCTTGTTCTGCTGTTCACTTTCCCCCGGGTCTTTAATGCTATTCTCTCTCTACCCAGATTAGCATATCCTATCAATCCAGATAACTAACAGAGGGCTTTTAACTGTTTTTTAAGCAAAGTATTGAAGTTAGAACTGTGCTGGAGGGAGAGATGTTTGAGGCGAGGGGTAACTCAATGAATGTAGCCAGTAAAGGTCCTCACCAGTGTTGTAATACACAGAAATCGGTGTGTGGGTGAGTGACAGAGAGGTTCATTATAGATCTCTGTTTGTGCCCGCTGCTCGTCATGCCCCCTGTACGTCCCAGCAGGTCATCAAACAGCTTAAGTCCGCCATTTGATGGCTATAAAAATCCCATCTTGTTTGTCTCTGTTTTTGGCTCTCACCCTGGTCTGCCCTCTCCTCCCCTGATGTGCTTCAAGCTGCATGTTTCGACAACCACAACCACAGTCAGTTTTTGCCAGGATGATTCATCAACCTCATATGCAAAAGGCCTCTACTTTTGGGTAGTTCGCCCTATAAAAAATGAGGACAGCTTTATTAGTCAAAGCCAATAAATATTTAATTATACCTCAGAAGAAGGTGTTGGCATTTGTTCTTTGATTACAAGAAGAGAAGAGGAAGCTTACTCACCCTCTCTTACTTAACAGTGGAGAAATGTTCACTGCAATGCAAACCCTGTAACACTGAGAATTTCATTTGTAGAGACTGTTTGTTCAATCTTTCTGTCCTTTTTTAGATGTCTGTTCCTCCTACTCTCTTCCTACTATATCTGTTCAAAGTACCTGGAGGTGTGCATTGTTGCTGGACAGACATACTTTATATGGGTTCTTACTCAAGCAATGCATTGATTGGAACCAAAAAGGCTACTGTGGTGCAGTGTGCAGGTGTGATTCACTTTAAAAAACTAACTTTCCTGATTAGACCCTATTTAAGCCCTTATACCCCTCCCTCAAGAGGTTTTGCCTTTTACCGGGCCACCACTGTAAAAAAGAATTTGTCCTTATTGACTTGCCTGGTTAAATAAAGGTTATAAATAAATACAAGAAAATAAACCTTTGCTCACACAAATGAACACAGGGACAAACACAGTTAGGAAAGAAAAATATGGCAGTGAATGGAAGAGGCTCTGTGAGGCTGTACTTACTGTAAGCACAGCAATTCTTTGAGCTAAATGCTAACGTCAGCATGCTCCAAGTGGTAATGTTTACATGCTGATGTTTGGCGGGTATAACGTTTACATGGAAACATTTGCTAATTAGCACTAAACACAAAATGCCGATGAGGGTGGTGTAAATGTCATTAGTCTTCATTTTGGATACATTCACTTTTGTTAAAACGTTAAGGGATCACTAAAGTTATTACACTTCACCCTTAGGGGCACATGAGTTTCTGAAGCAGAGGCAGTCAGACCCAATAGTTGATGAGATTTCATCAAAACCCAAAATGTCTAACTCATGGTGGCGCTAGAGTAAAGGTCAGGTGATCATCAAAGTCATAGATATCTGTACCCAGTTTCATGGAAGTCCATCCAATAGTTGTTGAGAGATATGTCAGTCTGGACCAAAGCAGTAGACCAACAGACCAACACTGCCATCCCTAGAGCCATGTCACTGACCTGGCTAAAAACAAATCAGCAAATATGCAAAGAAAGAAAAACACAACAGTGACAGCAACTGGGAGAAACACCAGGCAGCAAGAGTGGAGAATGTAATAGAAAAAGAGAATTAGAACTGTGAGAGAGAGATATGGAGGGACAGAGGAAAAGAGGATGGAGGCAGCAGTGGTGAATGAAAGAGATAAGAAATGGCGGCCAGGACACAGAGGGGCATTAGAATAAGGATGAGGAGGACGAACTAATTCCAGCATTAAGGGAGTTCAACACAATCGACAATCTCTCTCTTTCTCTGTGTCAGTGCCGATGTTTACAGCGGTTAAGCAGGCTTTGCAGAGTAATTCTACTATTATTAGCCGGCATGAGAGCTAATGCTGCAGCCAGACGGTCAGGATGATGGACATGCTCCGTCTGTCTGGTGACCCTCTGTTTATGTTTACTGGTTTGCTCTCTGTACTTTTGTTTGCATGTTTGCCAATTGGTGTCTTTCCCTTTCCTAATTTGAAAATGTAGCCTGCAAACTGGGCTTGTCCAGAAATACAGAGCCAGTCTTATGATTGCCTTCTAATTATACAAACAGAATAACCCTTTAAGCATTCATAGTTCAGGATGCAACCAAGACAAAGGGCTATTCTTTGATTCTGCATCCAGACGACCTGTTTCCGCAGCTGCCGTTAAGAGGAAGGCTTTGCATGTTTTGTCTTCTTCCTCTTTCATTTGCATAGAATGGCCTTTCTTGAACACTGCACGGTGACTCCGGGTGACAGAGAGAGTCCAACGAGGACTCCAAATCGAAAAGCTGCTCTTCCACCTAGTGGTGTAAAGGCCACAGTGCGGTGACAACTCGCAGAAAGGTTGCAAGCGAGGGCTCATAACGGAGACGAAGGGGAGAGGTGGAGGCAGAGGCAGCGAGTGGTTCAGCCGGCGAGAAGGGAGCGAGGGAGGGGGAGCAGGAAAGCATGGAGGAGGAGGGGCAAGACGAGAGAGAGATGTAGGGAGAGATGGGGAGAGAAGCAACAGTATTCTCTTTGAAGCTGACTGTATCCTCTGAAGAGGACGGTTGCATAATTTCAGCAGAAAAATAGCCTGACAGTGTTGTTTTTGTCCCCCCCCCACTCTCAGAGTTGTATGGTCAGGCAAGGATCCCGACAGCTCTGCAGATAGAAGACACAACACTATGTAAAGCTAAAGTATGGGGGTGAATATGGAGCACACAACACTCAAATGCAGCCATTGAGGTACATATGGCAGTAAGATTTATAAAATGGCCCACTCACATAACCAAGCACCCACACACACAGGCTCATGACCAAATGAGTAATCATCCCTGCAGGTATCCAGGCTCTGAGTGTGTGTGACTGCTTGTGTGAGTGTGTGTGTGTGTGTGTGTGTGTGTGTGTGTGTGTGTGTGTGTGTGTGTGTGTGTGTGTGTGTGTGTTTGTGACTTTCTACTCCCCCTCTCTCCTCATCTATCTAGGCTAACTCTCCTATTGGATCCCATTATGTGTCAGGACACCGGATGACTTACACGGGATTAGCATGTTCCCAGCTGAATTCAAACTCATAATTGAATTTCAGGCTTTATAATTGGACCAAAATTAATCAGAGTTTTCCTCATCATTCTTTAGCCTCTTGCCTGGTTATTGTACCTCTCTATTATACGTCTACATTCACTCTCCATCTCTTCGCTTTTTGTTCTGTCGCCCAGTTACCTCATTGGCCTCCTCCAAAGACCCTCTGCTTACTAAATATTAAACATTACCTTCCTCTCTTTCCCAGGTCCAAGATGGGCATCCTGGAATTTGGGCATCTTCATCTGTATCCGCTGTGCTGGTATCCATCGGAACCTGGGGGTCCACATCTCCAAAGTCAAGTCTGTCAATCTGGACCAGTGGACGCAGGAGCAGGTCCAGGTCAGAGGTCACACTACAGAGCCAAACATCAAGATTGGGACATTTGCTGCATGTTAATGTGTGACATACAGTACATGGTCTGTCACAAAATAGTTATGTATTACAGTACATAATGATTAGGTTCACAGTAGAATAGAATAATAGATCTGGACTGTCAAAATTGCCTACTACAGCTTTTTCTAAAAATGGTGTATAACCTTTCAAAACACCTGCAATTGACAGTGTAATTTATTTGTATAAATCAGGTACCAATTAAATACTTACTGGCTCTTACTGGTACTCAAATGTAGATACAAATTATACACTCTATATATACTGTTTATTTTTTTATGGTATAATGGATTTCACAATTATGAAATGCAGCCAAAATGGCAGGGTTATCGTAAGGTAACAAAAGGGGCTTTGGAACAAAAACTTGGATGGAGGGGTTTTTGAAAAACATAACATTTGTGGGGTACATTCCTCACCAATGCTGGAGTACAGTTATGTAGTTTTACTGTACTGTACGCATAGAAAGCGGTAAAGATTTAGAAAAAAATGAAAAAATTCCATATACTAATATGGATGAAGTACAATAAAAACAAATACTTTTGCCCTTTGCTAATGTCAGTTATTAGGCACCCCAAAACAGCAAAGCTGCTACTGAGATATAGTTGTTATAGCAGAGAAAAGCCTTAATGTCTTAGTGAGTCCTATTTCTTTTTTCCTCTAAAATGTCCAATTGTTACTCCCTCGTTCCCCACAGTTGCGTTTTCATTTGCGGTAGCTGCATTTAAGTACCAGTAGGAGCCGGCAAGTATTTAATTGGTACAATGAAAGTACACAATGAAAGTGTTTTTTTTATATTGGACCAATAATACACTAAGCCTTGTGTCAGAAATAACCAGTTTTTTGGATCAATATTTCTATTTGATTTGATATTTCTATATATAACAAATAAAAAAAACCTTTCAGGCTGCTGCAGCTTTATCTGAAATGATTGATTTGGAAAGGAGTCACAGGGCATAATATTAATACTTACATGTTCACTTATAAAATAAGTAGACACTTTCTCATCAGTATCAGCAAGAAAGTTAGCATTATGCTTGTCTCTTTCCTCCACAAAAGGAATTTACAGTGTTTTATTTTATCAGGACCCCACCACACACTATAGCATCTTGGATGGATTAGACTGCTTAACAGTGTGACATGGTATGTTGTGTTTCGGTGTCACCAGTGCGTTCAGGAGATGGGAAATGCAAAAGCCAAACGTCTCTACGAGGCTTTCTTACCTGAGTGCTTCCAGCGCCCCGAGACAGACCAGTCTGCAGAGATCTTCATCAGGGACAAGTATGATAAGAAGAAGTACATTGATAAGGTCATTGACATCCAGATGCTCAGGGTGAGCCCCTCTCTCTCTCTCTCTCTCTCTCACACACACACACACACACACACACACACACACACACACTCAGAAAATAAGCTCAAAGTCTCAAACAGAAGAAAAGTATCAAACAGATTCAACAGACAAAAAATGGACAGGACAGTAAATAACAGACTTCCTTGTCTCATATTTCTTGAGCAAGGTGTCTGAGAAAGTGTGTGCTTGCTCAACAAAACCATTTGTTTTCTGTGTACAGAAAGAGAAGAGCTGTGACAATATACCCAAAGAACCAGTTGTGTTTGAGAAGATGAAATTGGTGAGTACATAATTTCCTGCTGATTGTATCGCAGAATTAATAGAGTAGAACTGCTCCTGTCCTTAAATTGCTAGATTCGTCTAAATTTTACATTCAGCTGATGCTTATGCAGAGTAAATGAGTGCAGCATTACATGAAGGAGAAGGTGACATGAGTTACATCTTGAAGAGATGAGTATTCAGCCATCAGGGGAGAATTGGGAGGAACTCTGCTGTTTTGACTAGAGTGGGAAGGTCATTTCACCACCAGGGAGTCTGGAGAAAAAAAGGATTTTGGATCCGAGCTCATTTGTCACTGCAGACACATTGCATTAATTGTATCGACTTTCTCTGTTGTGACAGAAAAAAGACATCAGCCCAAAGACAGTTTCCCAGTCTGTTACAGACCTGCTTGGATTAGGTATTGTACCCCATACACACTAACACCTATTTGTTTGTTATTCATGTAATGCTAAGAACTGTACAATGGAGACACATTATATATCATGTTGTATTATAATGTTGTTTTCAAATGTCAGAGAAGCCAGAAAGCAACATCGATCCTACTTTACTATAAGTTAATATCAATTGTAGTAAGTTTACGGTTGACATTTTGAGGTTTTATTGAACCTATCTTGAAGAGATTGTTATAGAATCATAATCATAGCTTCCATCTACCCTCTATTAGATGCTCCTGCTCCAAGTCCTGCAGTGTCTAATGGTGGAGGATGTGTTCCAGACAGTAATGAGAGCCCAGCAGTGTCTAATCCAGCTCTGGCACACTCTGCACTGGATCTCTTCAGCTCCCTGCCAGCACCCTCCTCTGCTTCCTCCACTAAAACCACGGTAGGAGATAACACACTGTACATAATGTAAGTCAGCCCTATGTCTTTAGCATGCAAGCAGCATGGCTGTCGGGATGGCAGTGTTGCTATGTTCAGAATGCAATATCAGCTCTTGGATGGATAGCAATGAAATATTAAACAGACGTTCATGGTCCCCAGAGGATGGATCCCCTGACTTCTCATCTGTCGCCATCATCACATCAAAATGTCAAATTATAATCAAATACTTGGTAGCATGCTAGAATGCTGAAGTTGAAAACGGTAATACCTTCTAAACAGCAACATGTCACTGTGAGCATGTTAGCATGCTAAAGTTAGCATTTAGCTGACAGCACCACTTTCTCTCGGTATAGCCTCAAACAGTCACATGTGTGCATGTAGACTTTAGTCTTGTTCAAATCTGTCTTTTTAGTTGTGCCTCTCATTGTGTCACACTGTCTCGCATCCTTCTCTCACCTACTCTCTGATTCTTTCCATCCATGCCGCCCTGTCGCCCTCCCTCTGCAGCCTGTTTCCAGCTCCATGCCCCAGAGCAGAGTGACAGCCTCGGTGCCTGAAAACCTCAGTCTGTTCCTAGATCCGGCACCCAAAGCAGAGGAAGGCACTGTCAAGAAACTTTCCAAGGATTCTATTCTCTCCCTGTACGCCTCCACCCCCTCAGTGCACGCAAGCGCTATGGCTGCTCACGGTGAGAACTGTTCTACTCCATGTGTCCTTAATTCTTCATTTAATTAGTGAGTCAGTTTCATCATAGAGACCATAGAATTAGTTTTATTCATTACTTACTATCTGTGATTATTTTCAGCAGGCTTGTACATGAACCAAATGGGATACCCGACACACCCGTATGGTTCGTACCATTCTTTGGCCCAGGCAGGGGGAATGGGAGGCGCCATGATGACATCACAGATGGCCATGATGGCACAGCAACCAAGCGGCATGATTGGAGTTCAACAGAACGGCATGATGGGACAGCAGAATGGCTTAATGGGTGCCCAGGGTGTCATGCCTCAGCCTAGTGGTGTTATGGCGTCATCCTACATGACAGGGATGACCCAGGGCATGATGGGACAGCAGCAGAGTGGGATGATGGTCCAGCAGCAGAGTGGGATGATGGGACAGCAGCAGAGTGGGATGATGGTCCAGCAGCAGAGTGGGATGATGGGACAGCAGCAGAGTGGGATGATGGTCCAGCAGCAGAGTGGGATGATGGGACAGCAGCAGAATGGCATTATGGGACAGCAGCAGAGCGGGATGATGGGACAGCAGCAGAGCGGGATGATGGGACAGCAGCAGAGTGGGATGATGGGACAGCAGCAGAGTGGGATGATGGGACAGCAGCAGAATGGCATTATGGGACAGCAGCAGGTTGGAGGTCTACCTCATCAGCAGGTGTATGGAGCTCAACATGCCCAGCAGCTACAGTGGAACATTACCCAGGTGTGTGTGTGTGTGTGTGTGTGTGTGTGTGTATGTGTGTATGTGTCTGTGTGTGTATTTGTTTTGGACCATATACATTTTGAAAGTAATACAAGCGTTGTTAATTTGTTTTATGTCTTTCAGATGACTCAGCATATGGCCGGCGTGAATCTCTATAACACTAACGGCATGATGGGATACAGCAGTCAACACATGGGAGGCTCGACAACTCCAAGCTCAGCGCACATGACCGCACATGTTTGGAAATGATCTCATCTATCCGAGAAGTGATGCAACGCCACTAACCCACAAAAGAGAGGGGGACTGAGAACCTGTGGATCAGACTCTCCGTGAGACTTTTTCTAATGCAAGGGAGGAGGAGGAGGAGGAGGAAGAGGAGGAGGAGACAGGTGTGAAGAAGTATATGGTTCAGGAAACCACTACTACCTCTCTTTCTCTCTCCTCTCTGCCCATTCTTCCTCTTCTCGTCTTATCCATGGCCATGTTTTGCATATCTCCATGCTTGCCTTCAGAACATTTTCGTACGACGACCAAGACAACAGGGTTCACTGGTTAGGATCTTTCTTCGCACCTAGCCTGTATGTGAGAGTGTGTGCGCGCACATCTGCTGTCTGTGGGTGTCAACTAACTGCTTGATTTAAAAGATTAGTTTGGTTTTTACAGTTTTTCTTACTTGATCAGAATCTGAATCAAAATGCAAAGGTTAGCATAGCTTAACTCAATTGGTTGTTGTGCTTGACTGCTGCAATGTATTTTAATGAGACGTATTTCCCCTAAGAGGAGGGAAACGGGTTGTTGCAAGACTAAGGGTTTAATATTTTATAACTTGTTAAAGGGTTTACATTTTGGAATATTTTCTTTTTTTTTGCCAAGAGTTAAATGAGAAGATTGACACCACTATTATGTCTGTACAGCAAATACGAACCTACCGCCCGAAACAGGGAAACAACTAGCCTAGATCTGTCCAAAGGTAACAAAATCCACCTACCAGAACCTCTAAACCGCTTATTAATACCGTGGGGCCTATATCTTGTTAATTTAATTTGAGCATTAGAGGTGCTGGTAGGCAGATTTTGTTACCTTTGGACGGAGCCAGGCTAGCTGTCTCACTGTGTTTCCAGTCTTTGTGCTAAGCTAACCGGCTGCTGGCAGGGACTTCATATGTACCGTACAGACTACAGTGGTATCGATCTTCTCATTTAACGCTTAGAAAGAAAGTGAATATAAACCTTTTAACCCAGCATCAACAATGTCCCCTAACAAGTCACAACAGAATCCAATAAATTAGTTTGATTTTAGCTGCAACCATATTTGTCAAGTGGCCATTACAAATGTTTTTCAGCTAGTTTTCAAGCGCACAGTGGTTAAGAGTTTTATACCAGAAATTTTCTAGGTAAAGTTTAATTTTAGAATAGCTTTACCCTTATTTTGAGAAGAAAGTCAAGCTAGGTTACGCTAGCCTCTTAATACATAACACATTCAAACTGAAAGTAGAGAGGAAAGGCATTAATGAATTTATCTTACTCTGTTAGTAGAGAAAATTGTAAAATCTTACAAAAACAGATATATCCTTTCTAAATACTTATCTTACCCGTACAATAATATTAAAATGTAAGAAATCCCTTTATATAAGTTCTTAGATCATTACTGTCTCACAAGTTAGAGCAGCTACTAAACCTAAACAGCCCTTCATTATGATGTCTTCTACTCAATTTAAAGAGGGCTTCTTTAAGAACCAACATCTAAACTGGATTTTGGGAGACCAAAGATCAACGCTAGCTTTATTAAGGTTGTACAGTATTCCAATGCTTTGTCTGTATAGCCACTCAACTAGTGATTAGAGAATTCAATTCAGCAGTCCTTTAACAGTATGTTTGGTCGTACCTGCTCTCAACACAATGAATGTTTGGGAATATCAGTTCACTGTGCTATTTCCTCAGCAAGGGTGGGACACTTAAAAGGTCACTTGCATGCAATGTCATCCTGTAAATGTTGAGTTAACGCTCACACACCTCAAGTTAATCTACCTTGTACAATAGAGGCCTCAAATAATGTTGAATGTCCGCAAATAACAGAGGAAGTAGAGAGAGAGAGAGGTGGGGACAGAGAAAACATTAAGGTACAGATGAGTCATGTTTCAGATTCTTCCACTGAATTGCATGAGGTGAATGTTTTTTTCTAGCTCTGATTGTACGTACTGTATGTTTATTAAGATATCCGAATGTGTATCTCTGAATGTTTCCGTCTACACCGTCGACCAGTCTCTGACCAAGACCTACAAAAAAAAATCTCAATGAATGTGTGTCCTGAATGTGTTTCACGATTGTACCGGACTTGATTAGAATACACACACCCGAGTACTGCTGGGGTGTGATTGTTTTTTGATATTCTATGACTCTGTCAAGCAATGTACACTTGCGTCTTTTGAATGTTCCGTCAACAGCGTCCTGTCTGTTTTTTGGTGACTTGTTTTAAATTCAACCAAGTTTTTAATGTTACCGTTCAGTTAGGAGCAAACTGTGACCAGGCTTACTCTGGGGGCGTTTACAATTTGGCCAAACTACATTGTGAAGCTAAAAGCGATTGTACGACCACAATCTGTCACTTCTTAATGTTTTCGTCGACCGCTTCAATTCCTCTTCCACACAAGCCCACGCGAACCATCTCTGCGTCCTGATTTCTCTGAAAGTGTTTCTAAATATGTCCATTCTTATAAATGCATGGAGCCATTAGTGTAAATATTTCCAGTCTTTCCATTTTTTTTTTTTTTTGTAGAAGCACTTCGGTGTTAAGTTGCCATTATAATTGTGAGGGTTGAAAGAGGAATAAATTAACATACTCTGGCATAATAGTATTCGTATTAAGTGCTGCCAATAAACAGGCAGCGCAGCCTTCACGACTCAGAAACTCGTCTACTCCTTCCAGGTCTTTCTGTCAATTTTGGCTCATTTTTGTGGCAGCGGAAGCAACAGTGTGACAGCAGCAGTCACCTTCTCTGCTGAGAGCAATATCACCATCAGACAATGTGTCGTCTCTGTACTGTAACGGCAGATCTGTCAGCTAGCGAAGGGAAGTTTCTGGAAAAAGCAGTAACAATCCATCTGTGTGGGCGATAAAGGCTTCACATGGGCTTTTTCATTTGTGATTATCTTTAAATTTAGGTTGCTTGTAATCTGTTCCTTTTTTGTCTGGTATATTTTCTGTGAAATAAGAGCAAATGAAGGAATGTATCTTTTTATGTACTTGTCGATCAAGATATTGTGTACCTTATTCTTTATCAGAATATCTCTGTATATTATGTTTCTTAAACAATATTGATGAACATGTATTGTATATTAGTTCTGCATTTTTTTCACATGCTTTGGCCCTTTTGAGTTCGTGTTCACACAAGTTAGTCACTTAAATTTGAGAATATGTATGTAACATACAATACCTGTCTCTGTGAAAATATACAAAATAAATATTGTTTGGATTAAATTCTACATCTTGTATTGGTTTAACATTTTTAACCCTAGCAGGCCTACACAAGTGCTGACATTGTGCTCGCTGTTTGTTATGGCTGAATGGTTGTCAAAGCAATAGTCCCGTTCCTAACTAGATAAAATACTGATTGAAGCCGTGCTTGCTGTCATGGTTGTCAAGAATTGTTCTGTGCCATTCTCTAGAAGGAAACAGGCTGTAATGAGTTCACTGTTGCCTTGTTAATGGTCGATGGTTCCCAACCTGGGGGTCTGGATGCCCACTAGGGGTCACCAAAGTTTCACAGGCACAAGGCCTTCTTGTTTTTTAGTGGTATAAGAAAACTTGTACTACAGATATACTACAGAGTATGCCTATATCTCAGCATTTCATTCATTTCTGTGAAGAAAACATAATAAAATTGTTATTTTTAAAGTTTAGATTATTATTTAAGATCTAAACGTTGAAGACCTGAACACAAGCTACAGTCACAGAGCCTTCACTCTCTGTTATACAGCCTCATCCAGATTAGAAAGTTGCAGTTAAAACAACCAAACAGCTCAGAGAACAATGGCCAAGTATTGGGAAGAAGAAAAATGTATTTGGCAAAACAGAATTATTTTAAATATGATTGTTTAAAATGAAAAAATACCTAATACCGACAGAGAATTGGATTGAAAGTTCCAGTCATCTCTGATGTAATATTCACAGGAAATAATCTGCTCAAAATTCATCGAAATTTCTTAACACACACTTCTACACAAACACTAGTTATTGTGTTTACTGTTAGGTTTAATTGTTCCCTTTTTTTTAGTTGTTCTGCACTGTTGTTGTTATGCATTAGATAAATATGAAATATCCATAAAATATATCACTTAGTTTACTTAATGATAGAAAAGTTATGATGCTGTAGTAAACCCACATTTAGTCAGTTACACCAAAAACTCTGTATCCATCAGTAATCTTGATTGTGACTATTCACATTCTTCATAATATCAATAGATCATAACCCGACTCTGCAGTTCATCTCAGCTCTACAGACCTTATTAGCAACTTTCAGCACATTGTTTACTGTGGTGGTTTTACGGCCCACAGATATACTGCTTTGGTTCACTCTCATGGCTCTCAAAACATCAGTTCTGGCCACAGCAGGGCAGCTGTACGCTACCTGCCCAGCATCAAACAGCAGACAGGCAGAGTTAGCAAATTGCTGGTGAATACAGGAGCAAACGTTCTTCCTCAGGAGTTGGTGAAGACAATCCGAGCTAAAAGAGAGTGAATTTTGAACTTTATCAGGTGGCTACAAATGCGACTCTAAATTAATGAAGGAACTGAAAAGGTTAAAATACACACATGACAAAAGTTTGTGATTCAAATAAACTTTATTGACTTTGCGTCCAGATGTCAAAGGGCATGCAAATACAGGCTTCTGAATCCGAAATTGTTCTTTTTTTCCTCAGTTTGGTTCTATTTTCTTACAAAACTACGTGCACCTTAAGTAATCAATTCTGCAGCGTACAAACCACAAAAATACCAGTTTTACATTATCAAATACTGCACATAGAAAACATTTACAAAGCACAGGTATAAAATTACAGCTCCCTTTTTCTTCTTTGCCATAAACTGCATCCTTACATCAGTCTGTTATGTTTTGCCCTTAAAAACGTACTCTGTGAACACTCCTTTGTGAAAAGGTTAAGGCCGGTTAAGAAAAGACAACCGCTCATCTACCAACACCAGCAATCCAGATTCATTTGGCTGAATGTTTTAATGCTCCCATCCAGCTTTACATTTGATTCCAAGACGTCAATCTATTATATGTGCTAAGGAATGTCATTGTGGTCCATTACATATAATCAAAACCTTCCTAAGATTTACTTTATTTTGAGGTTGCACATTCAGCCGTTAGTTCAGGGTGTATTCGAGAGGTTTGTGCTTTGCTGGGCTTGATAAAATGAAGGTTGTCTTGACAGTGGGGAGGGGAGCTACAGTGGCCTTAATATAGTCTGACAGACAGCTAAAAGGACAAAATGGCTACTCAGGAAACTTGTGCTGTGATTACATTTATAGACGCAAATGAAGACAAACTGGCATATTCAGCAGCAAAACTCCAATTTGCCCATCAGCTCAGAAATAATGTCTGTTCTGTTCTCGTTGACAGCTGCTACATTGGCAAACAGACATATGGAATGCATGCTTCATTAGAAAATGAAAGTAGAAGAAAAACTCAAGAGATCAAAATTTGTTGCTCGTGGTGGGCTATCATAAAATAGCAGGTATTCACAATGCATTGCATGCTGTGTTGAGTCTAAATTGCTTCTAGTGTTTGGAAAATGTGATTCGACTATTACCTTATTTGTCATTACAGTGAGCTGATAAAGATTGAGCATGAGGTTGGCACGGCCCAACAATGAGTGTGAAAGAGGCCGAGGCCAGGAGTGAAGGCTCCAGCAACAGTAGAGGCTACAGCCAATGGTTATTGCCAGAAGAAGTATTTCAGAAAATGGAAGGCTAAGTCCATGCTACTTTAAGATACAGCATTTTTGACAATTTGTTTGCATCTCAATAAATTCCCTTTGATAGTGTACTGGATTAAATTGACTTACTCATCATTTGTTATTATCATAATTATTATCATCATAATCATACCATCATAAAGATTAAATACAAGAAAATCATCAGAGTAACCATGCTGCAAACATTTCAGAGTTCAAAGTACATCATAATCATAACAATTCCATCAGTTTGAAAAGGTAAATCGATAAGTTACTCGGTGCAAGTGGGGGGAATAGCAATCTTTTCTGTTGGACACCCATCGTGGCGATCTAAATAAATAAAAATGCATTTCGCCCGACAGAGTTCATGCTTGTTTCAACCACAGAGCTGTTCTTTTAACACACAAAGAATAAGACATATAGTATACAGTACAGTAAAAGTAGGGGATACCTGAACCAATGCAGGCAAGGTCCCTGGAAAGTCTTCAAAGAGACGGTATAGCAAACAAGATGACAAAAAAATTACACTCAGTTCTGGTGTAAGGATTAAGAAATACATTCATAAAACTATACATATACACATATATAACTTCAGTACAATATTTCAAGCAAAATACATTTGTCAAAACTTTCAGTTGTGTGCTACAATAGTGAAGCAATGTCTCCTACACAAAATAAGGCCATTGTAAACCGAACAAGCCCTCATTTTCGCAAAAAATCTAAAGGCAGGTTTTACCCACGCCGCTTCTCTGACTCCCTCTCCTCCTTCTCAGAATAATACCTCTCTCCTTACAAAAATAAAATACATTTTCAACATAGCACTCGAGAGACGATTCAGGTTGATTGAAGATACATTATAAAAGTTTTGCACGCAATAAAATTGGGTTGGAGAATGCTCAACGAGGATCTTAACATGGAAGCAAGCAAGCATATGGGTTTACATTCCACGCATCCACAGCCTTTACATTCAAACCTCAGCTGAGCCATGTTGAGATACGGTCTAGCTCAAGCTAATACTATCTTCACCTATCTGAAACATTGTTTACCAAGCTCTACATGCTCCGTGCTGTTACCCATAAACTGCTGATAAGCGTCTGTAATCGACACTTTGATAAATCCAACAATTTTGCTCACCTGCTTGCATGCATCTACCTTCACATTTACAAGTCTACTCAGGTTCACAAAACCACAAAGACTCTCAGACGACCTGCTGTGACTCTTCCCTGCTGCTTGTGAGGCTTCAACCTCTCTATAAGAACCCCTTTTCAACTCACTTAAAAACAGGAGAGTCCGTGTCAAAATAATTAAATTGACCATGAGACAATGCTATGATAATCATGTGATACTACAGTAAATTCTTTCTAATCTATGGTTAAATGCCACAATGGGAGGTGTTAATGTTCATATCTGAAAACCCTGATCCTTAAATTCTCTTCACTGTGGTCCACAACGAGTGTTTTTATAAATATCTGCACATTGAAATCTCTCACTCACTCATATCTTGCTGCCCTCCCACTCATTATTATGCATCACGCAGTACAATAAATGCACCTCATTGAAAGACATACACCCTTACTACACTTTGAAGAAAGGCAAAATTGCAGCTTTCCTTTTGGTTGCAGGAATCAAAATTTGGCAAATGCTTTCAGCTCTCAATAAAAACCCCTCTTATCGTGTAATTATACATCTCTTTGCATTCTCTTTTCCTCTACTTCCAATGATTAGAACTGTTAATGTTCAGGGCTACTTAATATACAGCAAAGGGACATATACAGTCTCATGAGCTCCAAAATATTGGAAATCACATGGAAAAATATTAACAGTATTTTTTAAAGAGTTTACCAAGGACTAAACATTCAGCAGGGATGTTATACAAGTCTACGGATTTCTTTAGGATTTATTTCTATTATTTTTTTTTCATTTATTTTCTTTCTCGTCAACCAAGCTTTTTTTGTCTTCACAAAAGGCGCGCACTGAAGAGAATGTGTGCAAATACCAAGAGTATAAGTCCTTATTTTTACATCATGCCAGCTGTCCACAAAAATAGATAGATACAAATTAATAAGGTACATAAAATTACTTAATATACATGACCATTACAGATACAGACCCAGCAAGGAATAGCTCCAAAACGTACAAAGAAATTGGAACCCAGACCTCGATGGTTCTTCTAAAAAGGCCTGTATACATGATAGGAGGGTCAAAAATGACCATCGCCATCCTCCCAAAGAAATTCAAGAATGCCAGAGATCCCTTTATCCAAAGTTGAGAGAGAGTTAAAATATGAATTCTGTTGGTCTGAGATGCCGAGAAGAGAAAATGACTCGGAGTTTCCCTTTTTGTAGAAATATGACGAGAAGATTGAGCTACACGGTCCTTAACAGACGACAGGACATATGGTGGTGATAAAACCAGATGTGAGCTCGTAAACAAACAAAAGCTTTTAACAGCCTATAGATTGAGACTGTCATGTCTCCTAATACTACTGAAACACTACTGTCTTTATCCATAAACATGGTTTGGTGATGGTCTCAAGACAGACTAATTCAAAAGCCACTGAAGAGAAAGATGATAATATCATCTTAAAGAAAACAGTAAACACCAGTAGCTCAGTTTGTCCTGCTGCTCCTCTGCCGTCAATGAAATCTCAATCATTGCACATTTTACTTGAACAGCCGAGAGGTCAGTCTCACCTTGTTTTCAAATGCAAGAAAAAGGCCAAAAGACATACGTTTTTTTTAAGATCTAAATGTGATTTAAGTTTAAAATCAGCGGGAGAACTGACCTGTTTCAGCTGTCTTAGTGGGCCTTCACACTCAAATTCAAAATAGACTCAAGTTACATTTTCATGCTGGCATTCAATTAAAAGATTGCAGTGTGACCAAATAAAATTTAAATAAATAAAACAGGTGGTCAACCACTGCACATTTGTAAATCAAACATAATACATATTTTACAGTAAAGTGCCATCTTCAACACAAACACACTGCCTGACAGGAAATATGAAGAGTGACATATTGCACCTGAAACAAGTAAAACTACCGTACACGGCAGGTTAACAATCACCCTGCTAGCAAAGTAATACTGGCATAAATAGTCAGATATCCCAAAAAAAAAAACTTGTCTGGATTGAAATACAAGTTTACACATTTACAACAAGTTACAGTCGGTGTGACGGAAAGGAGTGACCAAAGAGAAAGTAGTACGGTTAAAGGTTGTAGTTGGTACCAGCTGTGCGCATGTTTGCCTGTGTTTGCGTGTCTGACTCTGATCTGACCAGATGCGGAGAGAGAGAGACTTCTTCCTCCCTCCTCCTACGTCAATTAGGAAGAGTGTAAAAAAAGATGACATCGCAACGGGGGGCGGGGGGACGGGGTAAAAAAATCAACAGTAAGTTCAAACAAGTCTAGGTGCTGGTATATACGGAGAGAGTGTGAGACTGTGGCGCCCCCTAAATGAGAAGCACAAGAACCCCAGACAAGAAGCGGGACACATTTCCCAGAACGCCTTTTGTGCTGAGTGCCCTGTGCGGTACAACAGTCCTTTTTATGCTCTAAGACGAAGGCAGGATCAGAAATGTGGTCATCAACGAATGAGTAGAATGAGTAGCTGGCTGACTAATTTGCTCTCTTCTTCTGCAGATGGCGATGATAGCCCTCTCCCCCGTCACCCCAATCTTTCTCCCTAACTCAGTGCAGTGCTCTTTTCTTAGGACGGACTGCAAAATAAAGCGGCATCTTTACTCCCATTACATTGTTCAAGCTAAATAAAAAGATTTAAGCACTTTAAAATTTCTCTACAAGGGTTGCAAGCAAACATGCAGAATGCAGCCGATACATACATAAACACAAATAAGTATTTAACTATCTATTTATATATATATATGTATATCTATATATAAACTCTGCCCTGGGAAAATTATAGAATAGCAGTGTTGCTACCTCACATAATAGCCATTATGTGAATATCCAAGCCTGTTGCCCAGGTACGTTTATGTGTTTGGCCTAACTGTTCTCTGCTCGTGTGTGTAGAATGTATCTTCTTTTTTTGCATTACATCTAAGTCATTGACTCTGCTACATATCCATACTTTATATTGTATACTAGTTCACCTACTACTTATAGTAATAATAACAACAATAACAATTGCTTTGGTTTTAAAAAATAAAGTGTTTTTTTCTTAGTTTGGCATAGAGAGTTTAGAAACTGGCATCGGGATGGCCTTGGGATGAGTTGTGCATGGAAATCTGGTACCTTGGAATGCAGAATATGGCACCCGGTGGGTCATTGTGTCATGGTAGGAGACGTTGAAATGGGAGGGTGAAAAATGCTACATGTTCTGGTAAATTATGTGTACTTCAAGTTGGATTTACTAAATGTTTTTTTTTTTCTTTTTCAACTAAAAAACACTGATCCTTGGGTGAGAATATGGACGTCATGGGTAATGTGCAGTATCAGATATGGCAGCATGTCACTGTGTGTATTCATGTGGATGAGATCTGTATGTAAAATGTGTCTTCCTGCACAGATGCACATGGGTATACTGTATATGTGTGTGTGTATGTCTACCTGTCTTCTTCAAATACAGTCGTTGTGTATATACAGTACGTGTGTCCATGTCTGCATGACTCTGCCTGTGCCAGTGCCTGTGGGTGTCTACTGGGTGTCTAGGTGCACGAGGGGCTGGTAGCGCTCTCCAGGGAGGACTGGGAGAGGCGTCTGGTGAGGGGTCCAATGCTGGGATCTGCCAGAGAGGAGGTAGGGAACAGCTTGTACCAGCCGCTGACCGTGGCAGACAGGTCCAAGTCCTCCAAAAGGATCTGGGCCATTCCCATGAAGCACTTGTGGTCCATACGCCCATAATCTCCCCACACTATTACCTAGAGGAGAGATGAGACACAAATATGGGCATATACCAAATAGACCATATGACAATATACATTTTCACATATTTTAGAGGCCCTGTAAACTTCATGAGTAATGAGCTTGTACATGAACACAGATTTCTTATTGTTTCTGTGTTCTTCTCACATGTTTGAAGTGGGTGGGCTTGTTTCGAAAAAAAGGTGATGTCACATACTGTGCACCAATCAGAAGTTAGTAACATTTGTCAATCAAATGCAAACACACCACAACAACACAGTGTTTTTTAGTGACACGATCTTATAAGAACCTGAAAATATTTTTTAGTTTTGATTGTTGCTTATTTAGTCACAAATCTTTAATGTTACAGAGGGTAAGTAGTAATATAAGTTACTGTACTCATTTCCAGGGATTTTAACATCAAACCTCAGCTTATTTCTCTTCCTGTAAAGTATCAAAATGTTTTTGCTGAATGCACCTTGTTCTCAAGGGAAAATATAAACTGTTATCCATTAAAATAATAATAAAAAATAGTCATAAGATTCATTTAAAACCTAAACTCTACCTACTCTTTTTAGGCAGAAATATACAAATTCACTGATGAAAAAAATTATTCTGCCAGTTGGGTTACATGGTTCCACTTGCTTCCTATGCAGTATTGTTTGTCTTGAAACAAGGAAAAACTGGGTACGTAACTCTGAAAGAAAATGTAATTACACTACAATCCTTCAAGCATGTCAGTTTTTTTCGACAGGATATTAAATTCTCTCAGAGGCGCTGGAAGATCTTTTGACAAATGAGAAAACATATTTTAGGGTGGACATTTATTATTGCTAAGCTTGTGTACTGGTGTGATCAGTAGCAAAAAGAAAATTATAAAGAGGAAAATAAATCACATACCTGTAACACTTTACCCTGAGGACTCTCATCAAACAACAGAGCCTGCTGGTAGGTGGGGTCCAGATTCTTCTTCACTACTTTGGTTTTCTTCTTGGCCAAGCACACACCATTCTCCAGCACGTACACCTTCACGTAGGTTGCTGCAGACAAAGCAACAACTCAGTGAAACTCCTACATGGGAGCTAAGGAGCTAAGTCAACAGACTTTTAACAGTGGGTGAAGTCAGTTCAGAGTACCTGGTATGCTCTTGGAGCCCGGTTTGGGGGTCAACCCTCTGGCCTGATTGACCTCCACCTCCAGCTGCCCTCCTCTGTCAACCATGCCTACATGGACATCCCCTGTAGAGGGAAAGAAAACACACCATCTCTAGCGATCCAATAGAATCCTACATAATCAGACCCAAAAACCTAAAATCCTGTGGCGCTTGCTAAACCAATGCTTATGGTTCACTGGGGTTGCAGTGACTGATATCTAACTGCAGAGGGCGACACAGAGCTGTGAGTCTTCTTAACCAGGTAAGGTGGAGTACAGTGCTCTGTTCTGTTGTTTTTCACAAGCAATGACCTTTGCATGAAAGATTTATACCTCATGCAAGAATAACTTCATGCGTGCTGAGTGAATACACTAGTACTGTGCAGTATTTTTAGAAGCAGCTGTGCATTTGACAGTTTGTACGTTGGCATATGGCTGTGTAGATTGTTTAATCTCATTCTCTGTCATCCTACAGTGCAACAATATTTAGTGTATTTATTACACTTTTAATGACCTATGATTGTCTCATTGCTACTTATATGTGGTATGTTGCTTTGTCGTTGTTTAACCGACCTCACATGAGCTCAAAGAATCTCATGAAATCTGAGAATGAATCAAACAATACTGGACAGGAGCTGAACAGGAAAAAGATGGTGTAGTTAGAGTTCATTCCTTGGCTTACCCATGGGGGGTGTAGCTAGTGTTTGCCGGCCTACAATCTGAGCAGGGCCTAGTCCATCCAGAAAGTCACTGAACTGGCTCTCAGGCCCCAGGCGTGTGGTAGGGAAGACAAACCTGCGAGACAGGAAAGAGAATAATGATGGATGGATCCCGTATATGGATGGGTGGATGGAGGAACTGCAGGCTGGATACTCACGTTCCATCAGAGCTGTTAGAGTTGGTGCTGCCGTCAGTTGAGTCCTTGCTGCCCTGCCGTGTCACTCGGTTCCTCATCTCCACGGCGATGCCGGTCTCCGTGCTCCGTCGGATGGTGCTGCGAAGCTTCTTGGTTCCGCCTTCTGGAAAACAGAGGTCACAGAGCTCCTGCTTTACGTGGCCTCAATTAAGCAGGATAATCCACTAAGCATCATAATCAGAGGAAGTTGTAGAGCTGTCTGATAAGGAAGTCAGGTATTACACAGCACCAACACCTGCACGATAAGCCTGTATGCTTGGGTGCAAACCAGTGTTACGAAAAGTTCTGAACCCCTACATATCTTGCTCTGCAGATGTTGAATTAAAAGTAAATGTTTCCTTCCTTCAAGAGAAGTTTGCTTACTTCCAATGTTATAAAAAAAAAAACATCTGAAACAGAGGATGGATGTTTCTGTCGATCTTTTTCATGTGAGAGGGGCTGCACAAAAAATATCCTCACTGTTTGTTTTTTTAAAGCTCCTCAATAGAAATAAGGATGAATTCAGGCTGGCCTTGAGAGCACCCATCTCTCCACTATTTATTTTGAAGCAAGTTCACTCAGGCGAGAAGGCAATCTCACCTAATTTCCACTGGGACGTCCCCACACTATTGGAAAATCTCTCCAGTTCGCAGATATTACTACGGCCCATTTTAACACACATTTTACAGTGGCTGCTGTGAGAGGGGGGCAGTAAGCTTTTAGGGGGACTCCTGAGCCCTGGCTTGCGAGGTAGAAACACACACAAATTGTCAGCTTGAGGAATGTTGTGAGTGGCGGAGTACAAAGAAAGTCAGGGAGGCTGAGCTAGGGAGGGAGGAAGGGGGAGAAGAGTGAAAGGTATTTAGGCTTTACAGCTCTGCTGATGCTAGGAGAACGTTAAGCGAGCTGAAGAGCTGCTAACCCCGGAAGAAGCTTTCAGGGCATCATCCCCTGTAATGACACACTGTATCTTGACATGCTGAGTTCAAAGTAGTAGGGCGCAGTGGAAGCAATTCAGGCTATGACATGTGAGGTTGTGCACTCACGCAGTTTTAGCAGATAACCCGTCCCATCATCTCTTCTGTCACTCCTATCTTTGTCTCTCTATCCTTCTCGCAACATTACCCAGAGTTGTCAGGGTCCAAAGAAGCAATGCAGGCTAACATCTCACCAATGCACATCAGGGCATTTTTACACAGACAGACACACACACACACAAACACACACACTGACACATTTATACAGAAAATAATAATCAGTTTTTTCAAATGTGAGGATTTGCTGCTTTTCTTTGTCATATATGATATTAAACTGAATATCTTGCACTTCTGGTCAGACAAAGCAAGGAAGGTCCATGACTGTAAACAATAAAGCAATATATAAATTCCCAAAGCTATTTAACACAATGATCTATAAAGACATGTGCATGCATTCACAGATAAACGTCATGCTGACACTTGACGGCACTAGTGTTCACACCTGAGTGCAACATTTACACTCACGCACACAGCGTCTGCACGTGAGGGGTGAGGGTGACAGTTAGTCAGACATGAGGATGAGGAAGCTGCTGTGAGTCGTGTCGGCAGAGCTTGCTTTATAAAAGGCCTCTACAAAGTCTAATTGCTGGGACTTCCCTTAGACAGGGGCTTTCTAGGCTGGCAGGGATTTAAATTCCTGAAAACGTCTTAAACCTTTTATAGACGCATTTACGTTCTCCCCTTAAAATAGTTCATTTGGAGGTAAATCACAAAGCAACAACAAGAGGAACGACCTGATTAGCTTCTTGTTTTAGCACGGCCTCCGTGCAGCTCATTACGACTGCAGTTGCTGTAGAAACTCGTACATCTCCTCTCTATAGGAGCCCAGATAGTTGAATGGTGCAGTGAAGTCACCAAAGAAGACTTTTAACAAGCGGTTGCTCATTGCTGCCAGTTAAGCGCACACCCAGGTACAGCCGTCCCACTTCATTAGCCCGAGCAACTCCAAGCTCATTAAGCACCCTCACTGTCCCCATCTCATTGCCATGACAACCACAGATACCTTGCATCATCACCATCGCTATGGAGATAAACAGATAGCAAACAAAGCCACCTGATGAGACTTTGGGGGGCTGAAAAGAGGACATTTAACGAGAGATGGGGGGGCTTAGAACGAGGGATGAAACAGAAGAGAGCACAAGTAGAAGTAAGTGCAGAGAGAAAATGGGTGAAGAGGAAGATGAGAAGGATGGGGTCCCACGGGTGTTAGAGATGGGGAGAGGGGTGCTGCCTTCTATTTATAATCATGCAGTCAAGAATATTTCTGAGTGTGCGTGTGTGTGTGTGTGTGTGAGAGAGTGAGAGAGAGAGTGTATGTGTGTTTGCAGCATCACACCCAGACAAACGCCATGTACTCCTGCTGCCATGACAACCCCCGCCCTCAGATCTGGACGCAGACAATGCCACCTGAGACAACTGGCGCCATGGCGACAGGCTCGTCTCCCATTACTTTAAAAAAAAAAAAAATAATTCTATTGAAGCAACATTTCAATGAAATTCACTGCACTTAGCTGAGAGGGAGGACCAACACCATCCCTGCAACAGTAACCCAAAGTCTGTCTTGCTCGTAATTGAAGCAGACGGGTGGTGTTACTTGCTGACTGCTGGTCATGAATATAGCGTTTGAAAACTGTTATTTAAACATAATTAGGTCACAAGTGACTCATGTATCATGACAGTCAATGATGACGGGGAATCTGTCAAAATGTGAGTGAGTTCATACAGTACACACAAGTGGGACATCTCCACTACTGTATAAACCCAACTTTGAACTATCCAGTAGCTATTCATTTAACTTCGTATCCACACTTGTTACTCATTTGTCAGCCGGCCCCTCCCCTCTCATCAAAACAGCCCCCCCACCACCACCATCCCCCCATGGTGCGAAGCAGTGATCTCTTCCTTCCTATTTAATCCCCTCCTCCTCGTCTGCGCTTTCCCTCCATTCGTTTCCATGGCAATGCCGTCTGCATTGCACCAAGAGCTCCGGCCGGCGTGTTCGCTCATAAGCCTTTCCCCTCTCTGTGTGTGTCTTTCTTTGCTCGTATTGTCCCCTCCATGAGGCTCACGCCTTAATCAGCCGCCACTTCTTCTCCTCTCTCTCCATCTTCAAATCTCATCTCCCCAACACTGTACTTTCTTTTTATTACTGCTCTTTATCTCCAGCTCTTTGTTTGCTTGCTGGTTGCCCCCCCCCCCCTTTCCTATACATACACTCCTTTATTTTATTTGCTTTATGTACTTCTCCAAATCACTCTCACTTTCATTTTTCCTTTTCTAGTAGTTCCCTAGTTCTTTTGGCCTCTGTCCATCTTTATCTCACAACTCTTATCTCTATTCTCGGTTCCATCCCATCTAAATTATTTAGCATATTTTTTCCTCTCCCTCTGCTGAACTAACTTTGTTATACAGTGTTAACATCAAATACACACACATCCTGGAGGAAGTAATTAGAGGTAGTCTGACATATATGCTGTTTGAGCAACTAAAATAACAACATTACATAAGCTGTTGTGCTTTACCATGCTAGAGCAGAGGGTTTCTTGGTCTTTGTGTGCTACAAGGCTGTTTACACACACACACACACACACACACACACACACACACACACTCAAAACTTAACAATATGTGTATGAAAACAACAGGTATTGGTCAAAGCTACTTCTGATAATCATGATATGGCAAGATCAAGTCATAGAGATGAAGATTAGGATGGAGGAAAAAAAAGACAGAAGTGGTGGGGATGGAAAGAATGAATAGCTTCAGTGGAGAGAACTAATAGCAGAGAGGGAAATAAAGAAAGGTGGGATTACTGAAAATGCCAACAATGCTGAAAAGAGCCACACACTGTGACTGCATGCACACTCACACATGATAGATGGCTTCTGTGTGTGTGTGTGTGTGTGTGTGTGTGTGTGTGCGCGCGTGTGTGCTCAGTAGATCATTAAAGCTGCTCTGACATTTGGAGAGAGCACTGATGAAGCCTCTCTCATTATATGCTGTAATATAGAATGCTGTTTTTAGACTCCCTGGCTGCGCCGACATGCCTATTGGATGCACCGGTGACGGCAACGATCCACCATGCATAGCAACAGTAACCAAGCATGAGTGTTGGAGATGAAAGATCTGTTGTGGTATCTTTACCACCAGGCCCCTGCTAAATTTGGACGAAAGGGAGGTTTGAGGTCAAACCTTAAGTAAGACAAGAGATTATATATACAATTCTGTGATTCAGAGTCATATTTATGTATCATACAGTTACATAGCCAGTGATTCAGTGGTTACGCACACACACAGACACACATCATATTTTAGGATCTAGCTTTATCCTATATAGTATAAATATAGATACTAAACTATGATTATCAGTTTCATTTCACTTAAAAACACATATACTTTTTAGAAATTTCAAACAACATATCAGAACGGCCTATAAATGTCACTAAACTCTATTCTGCAAATTAAAAACTTATGTAGATGTAGTTTCATGGTTTTACCCTCTAGGATATCCCTGGTATAACCCTGTGAATACATTAGTGTAAAGAATCAGCTGACTTATAGTTGTTTTGCTCAAGGGCACTTCAACAGCCTGAGGATTACCCATACTATGTTAATGCAGTACGGATAATGGGATCCATCCTAACGCACTTTCCACAAGTTAAAACTGTTTTGGTTATTTTAGGTAACACATTCCTGTTTTTTTCTGTGCTCTTCTCACTGGTTTAATGCGGGCGGGGCTTCCTCCAGGATGTGCGATGTTTTGTGCTGAGACTTAGATGAGAGGATTGATATCATTGTCATACCTGTATGTGTAGCTGGAGACAGCAGGCAGTTAGCATAGCTTAGCACAGGGGTTCTCAAACTTTTTTTTTTTTTAATAAGGTACCTCCTTCAACATATTTTTGACCAGCGCAAAACATTTTTGGCAGATGAAAAAAATCCTGTATAAAGTGGTACAACACAGCACAGTTTGTGCTTTACTTGGGATCTCTTTTACAATTTTTTCATTAGACTTTAAATTAACATTTAAAAAAAAATCTCATGTACCTCTTGCAGTACTCCAAATTACCCCTAGGGGTACATGATA